CAAGCTGAAGCACTTAATCAGCTAACAACCGATGATCTTGAAGGAAAGGTACACTCGTCATTGTCAATTTTCCTCTTGCCAACTCATTCTAGCATGCCAATTTTCTTCATAGCTTATTGGTTTTTTTTTCCAATTATGCCCCATATATTTTATATAAATGCCCCTTGTATTAGCTAACAACTTCCAATTGTTAATAGGGTAAATCTAGAATAGTATTTTTCAAACGAATAAAAGCTGTTTTCTCATGCACCTTTTGCAGTTCGCAATGCTGGAGAGCTCATCTGTTGATGATGATCTTGCAAGCTTGAAGAAGGAACTATCTGGAAGCACAAAGGTACCTTCTGGTCTTCTCTTTTACCATTCATCTCAAAACAAGTGCACCAATGTCGAGCATCAGATTTTGTTAATGCAACATTTATTGTATATGTAAATGAAATTATTAGCCTACATACTCATCATTGCAAATCAGATGAATGTACATGTTGGCCTGCATGCTTCATTTTTAAATAACATTCGTGGTAAAATCAACAACCTTTATGCTAGTAAGCTGCATCTATTTTGGTATGAAGTGAAAAACTGAACCAAACAAACCCAGTATATCCCAGATAGAGATAGGGGCGGTAAGACTTGCATAGACCTTGAATCTACCCCAAAGGGTAGAGAGGTGGTTTTTATGAAGACCGCCGACTTGCAAAACAAAGATAAAAATTAAAAGGAGATTAGTGACGAAGTACCATAGTAACATAGGAGAATTGTAGGGATTTGGCAAGTAGKCATGTGAATGTGTGTAGCCAAGGGTCTTCATGGAAACAACCGCTCTACTTTTTGTGGTAGGGTCAGCTCCGTGCATCCCACTGGAGATGTACAAGGCCCAGGCTATTTTGGGYCCGGGCCTTCMAAGCCTGTTTTCAGTAAAGCAAAAAAAGATCCGGGCTTTTTCAGGGACGGACCGGTCTTTGGGGTTGAAAGACTGCTTGATCGGACCTTTTTTAGGCCATGCTTTAACTGGGCCTTGGAAAAAAAGAGATGGTCTGATCGGGCTTGGGACTAGGCTTGGCATTTTCAGGCCGGGGTTCAGGCTTGGGCTTTTCTGTACAACTCTACATCCCACCCCCAGACTCCAGCTCCGGGTGAGAAATACTGGGTTGGGTTGAGTTTGGTTTGGTTTGGTTTGGTTTGATGTGCATGTGTGCGCACTTGCACTTTTTTGTACGGTTTGATGGTATGAATAGTAATTCGTGTTTGGAACAGAAAGGAGAGCTTCCACCAGGAAGAACAGCGGTTGGGAACTCAAGTGGTGCAGCAGCGTATCCGTTTCCTGATCTTGAAATCGAGAAAGAGCTAAACGAGTTGAGGCAAAGAAGCAGGGACCTCTAGAAACCAAGGACATGTAAAGGAATTAACTTTATTATCGGAAGGAAGTTCATATATTCTCTCTAGAAAACTTGTTATGTTTATACTCAGAAAATTGCAATAAATTTACCTTTAGGTGCGTCTTGTATTTAGTTCCAATTTGTTTCTTTTTATCAAAATTTTTCATCTGTCTCATTGCATCTTTACAAAGCATCTGTGAGACTGTTGGTGTATTATGACACTCCTTTGTCTATGTGAAATTTTGGTTATTTTATCAAGTTCTACAACTTTGGATAGAGTTCCAGATTCTTGGGTAGGAATTTTTCTTTTCGTAAGAATCGTAGGTCCCCTTTGATCATCCTTGGATGAGATCGCATGTTGTTGTAATAAAGATGAACAACTTCGTTGGCACAGCATAACATACCTCTTAATACACCTTAACACGTTATCAAACAACGTTAATGCAGTAGCCGAATGATGGAACTGCCCCTCCATTTCCGATTGTGTGCGTGTTGGCGCATGGATTATCCAAACTCCTTCAAGATCGATGGGTCATGGGATGGTCCTACGGTTATGAATTTTGGAGTTCCTACTCACTATCCCAACCGTGTATATATTGAGAGAGAGTGAGAATGCAAGGATCCAGGGACAACCCAAAAAAGAATCGGATAACTTATCAAAACATTAGATTGAGATGATTTACATACATGRGCCATATTAAGTTGTATTTTATTATAGGGCAAACTACATAAAAACGCAATATACTTTGGTCTGATTCWTAGTTGGAGTAAAATATATTTAACTTCAAAGTACATTCCATAAAATAAAAATCAAACAAAAATACGTTGTATTTTCATGCACTTTCAGATATAAATTAAGTACCTATGTATTTGAGACGTTACACATGATATATTAAAATAAAARTTTTGAAAGTACATTACACAAAATAAGAATCAAATTGAARTACATAACATTCTAATACAATTCTCATTTATTTTAATGGGTTCAATGTCTAAATTAAATAATATAGCACAAATAAATACATCAAACAAATTTAAAAACACGAACTTTTATTATTTTTTTATCAGTTTTTGAGATTCAACATAAAATTTTATTACAGTTTTTAAAAGTAATAATTTTTAAAGTTGGATTGTCAAAATTATAAATGAAACGAACATATATTACTCTATTGGAATTTGGCCTGATTTTTACGGTCCCTCAAAATTTAAACCCTAATAAAGTTAATGGACTATATGTGTAACTAATGAAACTAAAAGGTCTCTTTTACAATTCTGTTATTAATGAAGGGTCATTTTTGTAAACWTGTTAACCGGTTCTCCAAGCTACTCAGTATCATAAAGCCTCCTCCTCCGTCTAGGCCGCGCTGAAGTRCTCGAATTCAGAAATCTGATCTGCAACTCCCGAATCTCCTTTGAAGCTAATCGAATCGTATTTCTTCTTCTCGATCTCTCTCTGATGTCGGTAAGCTCTCTACAAACGCATTACTTATTTGAATCTTTAATTTGTAGAAGAAAAAGTTGTTATTTTTCTGGGGTTGGAAATTCTTTATTCTCGTCCGATTGATCAGTTAGATTCTTTCTTCAATYTGGAATCGATTYACAAAAATTCTTATGACWTTCAGAAAGAGTTTACATGTCCAAAACAAACAGTCAATTGATAACTGATGGATGAAAAACAGTCAATTGGGAATTTTRTTTTAAATCCTCTTTATTTATCATAGCAACTTCATTTTGAATGCATTGAGTCTTAATTGCTATTTTCTCCATTACAATAATTGTGAAGAGACATCTTCAATCGTTTGTTTTTGGCGGTTCTTTTWTTTATAGAAAATGTATGTATAGCCAACAAAAGGACCGTAATTATACTCGCGACAAGTTCTCATAGTAATACTATAAGCTAAGCCTTTTATGGTTATACCAGGATCATCTGTTATGAACATTATGGGGATTTAATACTGTAGTACCCTAATTATCTTGGGTGATTAAGATATGACTTACAGGTTAATATGTTTGTYATTACAGATTTTTGAGTACAATGGGAGCGCCCTGGTGGCGATGGTAGGTAAGAATTGCTTTGCTATTGCTAGTGATCGCCGTTTGGGGGTTCAACTCCAGACTATATCCACAGACTTCCAAAGAATTTTCAAGATTCATGACAAGCTTTTTCTGGGTCTCTCTGGTCTGGGCAGTGACGCCCAAACGCTGTAAGTATGAATGTTAGGGGTTTATGTCAAGCGATTTCATGATAAGAAGATCATGACACCTTATTATAATAAGCATATGTTATGTCCAACCTACTTCTGATATCGACGTGTGATGATCTTGTTATCTTTACATATACGATTTGCAGGGAAAATCATTCAACTTTTAAGTATCTTATTGATTGTATCTATATCTGACTCATTTTGGTTTGTAATTGACATTTTTTCTGTTTTGCATTATTGTAGTTATCAGCGACTTGTATTTCGCCACAAACTGTATCAGCTACGGGAAGAAAGAGTTATGAAGCCTGAGACTTTTGCCAGTCTTGTCTCTGCTGTTTTGTATGAGAAAAGGTTAGAATAGAAGCTTTCTTATGTATTTGTGTCTGGTTTAGAATTCATCCCTATCTAATGTGTGTGGATCTCCATTGTTATCCATTTGCTCCAAATTGAAACCATTTTGTTGCATTTTAAGAAAAATTAATAATTCATTTGTCCATCCCATGAAAATTGCAACAACTTTTTGAACAAAAGAATAGGAGCCTCCATAGTTGTTAAAAGAGCRGCGTACCTAGGCTCTGAGGCTCATAAGGATAAAGGTCTTGGGATTTTTTGAAGTCGAGGCTAGGCATATTCATGAGGCTCAATAAGGCCCTGCCCCTTGGCTGAGGCGCCTTGTGGGCTGAGGCGCCTTGTGGGCTGAGGCGCGCCTCATAAAGAGTTAAAAAAATCTAGTCAAAGCATAATATTAAATAAGTTTTCTTCTCTTCTCATCTCCTAGACTTCTTAAATAAAGATTTATGAAATAGATGATATAAGTCAAACCCTAATATTATATACCCACTTCTTAGAACTTCAAGCCTCCTTCTCTGTAAATACCCAGACCTTAAAACATCTCCCTCCCGGCCTTCTCCCTTCTGTCTCTATCAAAGCACTGCTGGTTGCTGCATTGGAGGCTTGTACTTGCTGCATATCTCAGCTGTGTTTAACTGTTTGTGTGTGTGTGTGTATATATATGTATACTAGTGTTATATTAGTCCATTGGTCGGGTATGGTATAAAATCATATGCAACATCACTTTATTATGAACATGTAATMAAAAAAAATTATGAACATTAAAAAGATGATCCATATTCAACARTTAAAAAATGAATCCCATCTCCAATACCCACCAATTAATAAGATAATGCATGATACGACAACTCAAAATCAACACCATTTTCAGCACCTAAGTGTCCTCATACTGGTGAAGAAAAAAAATCAACATACCTCATCACAACAATTCAAATAAAAACTAAAAAAATCAACCGACCTCATCACAACAATTCAAATAAAAACTACATCACTTGTAATCCAATAATATTTATGGGTTGAACTAATGACATTTAGACATGTAGATAGAAAAAGTGGACAAGCTACCTTCTTGGATAATTATCCAAGCCTAACTCATYCARAATTCATGTTACATTATGTTCCCATTTCAAGATATTTACAGCCATGATCTTGATCAGGAGGTTCTCAAATGAGTCCTACAAACATCTATCAGTATATACATTATAATAATCAAATTACAAAGCCTATCGATGGAGCAAGCCCGTGAAGCACAATGATCAGCTTACACAAATAGGAAATATGAATGACGAAAAAAGAAAGATTGGAATCTTAATTCAACACATTCACAAAATCACAAGAAAAAAAAACACCAATACCACGAGTTCTTTTCTCTTTAGATGAACTACTGACGTCCTCTCGATCCCTTCACAATCACATGATAAGAGTACACTACAGAGTTAAATATAGAGAAAGAAACATATAGAGAATAAAGGAGGTGTAATTGAAGTACCAAAGCAAATAAAATTGAGTTTCGTTCATCACTCGTCAAGTCTAAAATGTTGGTTGTGCTTAATACCTTGCTTAAGTTTGTCTGCACTTTTCAAGTTTTGTACTCTGCTGGGCCATTATCCGAATGTTTGACATCTGCACGAGGATTAATTGGAAGAGTTGATACAAAGAAAAAATCATCTGTAATTTGAATAGCCTATAAACCCCTAATAATCTTAACTTTATCGTACTATCTTAGATCAATGATGATTAAGAAATAAGAAGCATATTACAATTGGAAGTAAGGAAAGATCTATAACAAAAATAAAGTGATAATTGAGAACAATTGTCAGCCTACAAAATGATGTTTTGAAAATACAGTCACATCAAGTGTGGGTACATAGTAAGTTACTGAAGCGCATTGTTTCTGCTCTGTTAAATACCACAAGTAACCATTACTGAAAACATTTGTTTGATGAAATGGAGCTCTTTCAATTAGTGTCTATAACCARAGAGAGTGGAGATTGAGCAACAGAATACGGTGGATTTTTAGTGTAGATTCTTTGGAGTCGRCAGTTGAGGGGAGTGRCCGAGTACTTGTAGGGATGAAAAGAGATACAGCTAATCATCACATAGAAGTAAAAACATTATGTACCAATAAAAACATTGTTTATCATCAGWAACAAAATTTCACCAATGTGAACATTGAGGCCATCATCCACCGAGYACAAACTAAACTAACAGCCCCTAGTTTCATGAAAGTAACAACTTGCCTATGGCCACCTCCATGATCCATAAAAATCAGAATATTA